ATAAGCACAGCGGCCTGGTACAAAGCCAAAATATTGGCAAATGCCATTGTCAGTAGTGGTATTCAAAAAGCATATTTTGGAGAGTTTCTGAATGCTTAGACTACACATATCATAGAATATCCATTATACAAAGTTGTAACCAAAAGAGGCTGAATACTGTTCCTGGGAATTTTTTAGGTCACCTCCTCTCTAAATTTTTCTGTAATCGTGTGATTTGGTGCATTACTCAGAAAACTGGTAACGGAACACAGGACTGCTTGGGAAAGCAGATCTTTTCAAACTTTCTTAATGGGGCTGTGGAATGGATCAGTATGAGTTTGAGTGGAAGCATTGCACACTTGGACATTTCTTAGGCACTTCATCTGAGACAGTATAATATTTTGACTAGAGAACTAGAATAACAAAGGGACTGCATTTCACACATGAAATAGATTGCAAAAGAGCTGGTAAATCTCAGCTGTATGTAAGCAAACATACATAGCATCTCAGCAAGTGTTTCAAGAGAAATTCTGCAGGAATCAGTTTTTGACTACATGGTGCTTAAAATTCTTAATCCATTACCTTAAAGAGCATAAATCATCAATACAAAGATTTTAAAAAGGTCAAGTTATGTCTTGCCTATACCTTAGGGTTGTAAGTAATTCATACAGAATGTTTTGAAAAGACTGGAGTGGATTAGTGAAGACCTGAAAGAGTCATTAGAGAGTTGGAAAATATGCCATCAAGTGAAAAATTCAGAAAATGCAATGCCTGTAATAACTCAGATTTAAGAGGTGACTTAAGGACACTGCATAAGTATGTAGGGAACAAAACTTTAGTAACAGATGTCTTCGGTGTAACCAACAAAAGTTAACAGAACCCAGTGGCAGAAAGCTGAAGTTAGAAAGATCAGACCAGAAACAAGCTGACTTCTTCTATCCTACATCCCTCTCCTTCACGTTTGATAACATTTTTTAAAGGCTTATTTTTTCTTGTTCGCCAGTATTTTGAGTAATAACTGAATGCTCTTGCAAAGCAATTCATAAATGTATTCAGGAGTGAACAAGTGTCGGAAATTTCTGCCTCTTTTGATATGTCAAAGCTTTAAAGAAGAATCTGGATATTTTATTCCAAAACTGATATCTAGACACGTTCAGTCACTGCCTATCCTTATGGATGCTTGAAAAGCATTTGGGGTCCTCTGCACAGCCTGGCAAGCACAGGAACAGCCTGGGCAGCAAGGACCAGCCTTATTCTCTTCTCTTACCTTGAAACAGGTCTGGCAACCAAGGGAACTAACACCTACATTTCTCATGCTCTCTGTAAGGCACCAAGTCCTCCAGGAACTGTTGTCACAAGTCCAGGTATTGCAGGACCAGTCTTTCAGGAGTCAAATCTGTTTTAAGGAGATGACATTTTTTAAGAAAGCACCAAAACTTCTGAACACATATTTAACTCAAATTTCCTTTCCATTTATGCTCAGTGTAGGCTTTGGTGCCTCCTGAACATATCCCTTTATCTTCTCGAGGTGGGTGACAAGCCAGACTTATCTGGGAACCAGCATGGGGGCTAGAAGAAAAGATGCTTTCAGTCTGCAACATTTAATCAAACTAGTTCATAATAGCCACAGTTCTACCAGAGGAGCCTTTCAACAGAATATATTGCTCCTTAGTCACTTTGTATATTTATATCTTTATACCTGCTACGATATAGCCTGCTTCAATTTAATAGTATTAATACTGTCAATTAATTTCATTAAAGATGAAATCAGAGTAAAACTCAAGTCAGGAGCACTCAGGGTATGGCTTAAATTACGTAGGGAAACATTGCAAATGTAATTGTGTTGTACACATGTTGAAAGTTACAGGCAAAAGTAAACTGTATGAATATAGAGAGGCAATCGCAGTATGATGCTTCAGCTACTTGAAGTGGGTGAGTGTGTTCTGCAGGTAAGTTCAGTACACTTTTGAGCTATTGCAGTCATCTGAAAATCTCTCTGTAACTAGAAGGAATTCATGTTGCATCTTTTTTAATTACCTGCAGATCTAGCACTTTCAAGAATCAGTGAAGATTCCTTAATTTCATTGAGAATTGAACCCAAGAAAGAGCATCTCATCTAATTAAGGCTGGTGCTTCCAGTGATGGCCTTCAATCTGCATACATATTGTGAGCTGTGCTTGAATGGCAGTGCAATCTGGCTTATCAACTGAATTACTAGTACACACACATTTTCATATTTCCAATCATAGGGCCATGACACAAGCTTTCAGTGACTTAAAAATACAGACCATTTCCCTAGAGATTAATATGGACACTTAATAGTACAGCAGCTTTATTATTTTACTTATGAGCATTTCAGACCTTGCATGTGAATAGAAAAAAAAAAAAATGGAGTTATTCCACTGGCAAAAGCTGTAGCCTTTATAGCACTGACACCATTTTAATATACTAATCTTAACCTTTTGGGTTTTTTTTTACTACAGTCTAATATTTTCTTCTTTGTGATAGAATCTAACAAAACATTGATCTAGGCCTTTCAGAAATATGACTTGCTAAAAACTTTGCTGTCTGCAAATACTTTATCATAGTCAACACAAAGGCAGTAGAATAAGTAAGAATGACAGCAAGTGCAAGTAAGGGAGACAAGAACTTTAAAACACATTCACATCATAGGGAGCTGACAATTTCCATACAAATGACAGCACAGGTATAATGCCAAATTTTCTTAAAGTTCTACTGAATCAGAATCGTGCCCAGTGAATAGCAAACAGTAACTAGGGGGCACTTAATTTGTACAAAGGAGGCACTTAACTTGTACAAATGCATTCTTAGTTTAAGGGAAAAAAAAAATAGAAAAAGCAAACAATAATTAAAGATGCTGCAGAACATGGACAAGCGATGAAGACAGGACTGGTTTCTCATCACTAGGCTGTCCTCATCTAACCTGCTTGTTTTAGGCAAAGGAAATGCATTCGATCTAATCTACCTGAACTTCAGCATAGCATTCCCACAGGAGAAATTATTAGTTTAAATAGGAACTCGGAGAAAGACTGTAAGTACGGACTTAGCTAATAATAGGAAACTGGGATGAGAGAGTGTTCAAAGTGAAAAGTTATTAGTGATTTCTGAAAGATCAGTTTGAGGATCTTATTAACATTTAATTTTTTCAGTCATTAAATTAGCAATCAAAAGTGAAAGTTTCCTGGCAAAACACAAAAGTCAATTGGTATTGTAAGTGGAAAGGAAAAGAAGGATCTTACTTGGAAAGGACTGAATTATCTGAAGAAAAGAAAGAATTGAAAGTGAGATTAAATGTAATAGTATTAAAAAAAGATCATGTATTAGCTAGATTCATCCGCTAGAAAACAGGTGCAGCTGCATATATCAAGGATACAAGGAAAGCAGTGGATGTTATGTACCTTGACTTCAGCACAGCTTTAGATACTGTCTTCCATAACATCCTCATAAAGAAGCTTAGGAGGTGGGATAGATGAGTGGACAGTGAAGTGCATTGAGAACTGGCCGAGTGGCAGAGCTCAGATGACTGTGATAACAGGTACAGAGTCTAGCAGGAAGCCTTAATTAGTGTTGTTCCCCAGGGGTCAGTACTCAGGCTGGTTTTGTTCAACATCTTCATAAATGATCTGGGTGAGGGGATAGAGCGTTCTCTCAGCAGGTTTGTTGATATAGAGCTGGGAGGAATGGCTGACAGAACAAAAGGCTGTGCTGCCATTCAGCAAGAGCTGGACAGTCTGGAGACTTGGGTGGAGAGGATCCTAATGAGGTTCAACAAAGACAAAGGTAGAGTTTTGCACTTGGGGAGGAATAAGCGTATGCTTATTCTCCCCGATTCCATGCTTAAGTACAGGTTTGGGGTTGAACTGTGGGAAAGCAGCTTTGCAGAGAAGGACCTGGGTGTCCTAGTGTACAACGTTTGCCATGAATCAGCAGTGTTCTCTTGTGGCCAAGAGTGCCAGTAGTATCCTGGGGTGCATTAGAGTGTGGCCAGCAGGTTGAGGGAGTTGATCCTTCCATTCTCCTCTGCCTTGGTGAGGCCACGTTTGGAGTTGTGTGTCCAATTCCAGGCTCCTCAGTTCAAGAAAGACAGGGAACCGGCACTGCCTTGGCTGGCACTCCATGCAGCATGGTTCTTGGATTTGCAGGGCTTAGTGATTTTAGGTCCGTAAACGATGATGAAACCACTTCATCTTTGCCTTTTGCATTCCTTTTCACTGTTTTTTGTTTGTTTTCAACTTGCGAACAAAAATCACAATGCTGTGCAACAAAGCAGAATTTTTTGCTTCTTCATAAGTGGCAAAACCTTGTAAAACTACTGATAGAAACGCCACACTCTGCTTTCTCCAGCCGGACGGTGCAGCTGCGGGGACAGCTCAGCAGCGGTGTCCTCCTGCACCCGACTCGCTTATTCCACCGCCTCTCGCAGCATTTTCCCTGAGGGGACTCCTCCAAGCTCGGGCAGGGGCGGACACACCGCATGATTCACCGGGGACTGTTTGCCTTGGCCCCGGAGGCCCATCGTGCGGGGAATGGGATTTCCATTCCCCAACGCGTCCTTTGGTAGGCTTCCCTGGAAGGCAGCACGGGCCCACACGCCGCCGGCGGAGGCTCCACGTTCCCGTGGTGTAGGGAGAGCCCCTGGGCCGGGGCAGGGCCAGGTCTGACGGCTGCGGGAAAGGGGCTGGAAGGGGGGTGAGACGGGGACACCGCGGCCGGGAGCTTGCGTCCCTCAGCGGAGCGGCGGGAAGGACGGAGCCGACGCGAGGGCTGCCTGCCCCGCTCCGTCCCTCGCGTCAGGCGGGAGCGCAGCCCCGTGCCTGGCGGAGCGGGCGGGCAGGAGCGGGACCGCGTCCCTCAGGGCGCCGGCAGCTCCCGGGGTAACCTCTCGCCAGCCAGGCTGCTCCCTCCCCTGGGGCTTCCTCCGCCCGCGGCCGCCCGGGAGGCGGCGGCTCCCCTCAGCCCGAGGCGCTCCCGGGGGGGCGGGAAGGGGAGCGCTGTCCGGGGCCGCGCCGAGGGGAGGAGGCTCCCGCGCTCGCTGCCGGCCTGTGCCCGCCGTCCAGCGGAGCGGCCCCTCAGCTCGCAGGTAAGCTCCGCGCCGCCCTGCCCCGCCGCTCCGGGGAACAGCACGGCCGCTGTTACCCCCGGCCCGGGGCCCCGCGCGGCGGAGGGACCGTCCTGCTCTGGGCCCCGCCGAGTGAGGGGCGGCCGAGCCGGGGGCTGCGGCGGCGGGCCGAGGGAGGCGGGGGGCCTTGCGGGGTGCGGGCGGCTCAGAGATCAGGTCCTGCAGATAGCCTCGCTGGAGGGTTTCCCTTCGGAGTGCGCGGTGCTGAGGAAGTTCTCCGGGTGCCGTGTTCTCCCGCGCGCGTTTCTCTAGCTCGTGTAGCATGCGCTGTAAGGGGAAAAACTGACCGTATTTTACTAGCGGTGCAAACATGGAGCTGACTTTACCTGGGAAGGTTTGCAGCGCGCAGCCTGCAGGTGCTTTGCCGGCCTGCAGCACAAGCACAAGGCTGCCCGCGGCCGGTGTGACCGGAGGGGAGGGACAGCGGGGCTCGCGGCATGCCACGGAGCTGCCCTGGAGACCCAGCCTGGGCGGTGCTTTGCAGACTTGCAGAGGTGGTTGTGGCATCTTTAATAAGTGTGTATCGCTGTTTCAGAAGACAGTACTTGGAGTGTCAGACTGACCTGTGCCATGATGCTTGATAGTGCTGGCTCAGAGAGAAGATTGCAGCCTCCTGATCTATGTAATGCTTCATAGAATCATAGAACGATGGAATGGTTTGGGTTGGAAGAGACCTTGAAGATCACCTAGTTCCAACCCTCTGCTATAGGCAGGGACACCTCCCTCTAGACCAGGTTGCTCACAGCCTTGTCCAGCCTGGCCTGGAATGCTTCCAAGAAAGGGGCATTCATAACCTCACTGGGCAACCTGTTCCAGTGCCTCACTCTGCTCACAGTAAAGAATTTCTTCCTGATATCTAGTCTAAATCTGCCCTTTTCCATCTTAAAAGCATTTCTCCTTGTCCTGTTCCCAGAATCACAAAATGGCCAAGGTTGGAAAGGACCTCAAGGATCTTGAAACTCCAGTCCCCCCTGCCACATGCAGGGCAACCAACCTCCCCATTTTATACTAGACCAGGCTGCCCAGGGCCCCATTCAATCTGGCCT